TACTTAAAAAACTAAAAAGAATCACCTCAGTGCTATTATCAGAAAAAAGTTAAACTAGCTGGCAATACTATGTTCTAGCCCTTTAATTCACTATCATAAACTGAACAGTGAAAATCAATCAAGTAATTCTGAAAACAGTAAGGAAAAAAATAATTTGCATATTAGCTAGAAGTTAAATCAGCTGAAAAATTATTTTATAATCAGCACTAATTCACTACTGAGCTGATAAAAACACATACATAAAAAACCCCCTGAAACGCAGAGTGATTTTGTTTTTTCTTAAATTGACAAAATTAGGGAAGAAGTTTAACTTAAGAAGCTGAAAAATTTTGCGTGTTTAAAGCATCTTTATCAACAGGCATAAGTTTCTAGAGGAACAGGACACAACCATAACATTTTAATAACTTATAAAGTAGTAAGTCATTCAATAGAAATATGTTGGAACCAACTTGGATTAAGATATAGTACTTGGCTCATTAAGATAAAAATCTGTCCACTGTAAGGCCTATAAAACAGACAAATTCAATAACTTACATCTTCTGTCACTGTTATTATGGTCAGTTACTATTCAGAGGAAAAAACGCTGAGGAGATCCCAATATATAGGGAATGCCATACTCTGGTTAGCTAAGATAAAAATGGGAGCAAGATTAAAGTGTAGAGTCTGGATAAAGTGATACAGAAATCTGAGAAACTAATTTCATTTTGGTGACAAGCCTGGCAGTGGTTTAAAAATAAAACTAAAAATTAAGGATACACTAGGCAACATCATCTTGCAGTACACATTCAGTCTTTAATATGCCTATCTAACACTACAGAGTCCTTTCGCACAGAGACAGAAAGAAATACAGAATAATACAGAAGACAAGGGTAAAGACAAGGGTTGCCATCGCTTGTAGATATAGATATGAGATGCCTGGTTTGCAGACCTCTAAACATCCTACTGACTCAGGAAGGCATCGGGAACTTCATTATCAAAAGAAGATAAAGTGCAACTGTGGAGACAACAAACGGGCATTGCCTTAGGTCTGAGAGAGACTGATGATCTTTGGGAAAGAAGAGTGTCCTGAGGCAGGTATGGCGTCAGACCTCAACAACTAGAAAGTGTCAAGAGTGGAACAAGCTGTATCTGCAAGGAAAACAGTGTCACTAACTCAAACATTTCATGGGATGCTGGCTTTGATCCTTTCTGTAATGGGCTCTGAAAGACACTATGGAAGAGTACACTAGAAAACACCAAGTCCTTTCCTAAAAACAGAGGAGTGACCCAATGCTGGGGTGCAGGGAAGGGAGGCAGCCAGGGAAGAGAGAAAAGCTCATTCTCTTTTCAATCACGTGCATTGCAACAGGTTGTTGGAACACTGTTCATCCAATAAATAATTCATGACAGTTAATTACCAGGACCATTATGTTCTATCATCACGTAATAACATGGGATATAATCAAGAATGGTGTTTGCTGTTGCTCCCAGTTGAGATCAAGTTCTATTTTCTATATGTGCACACAACAGCAAAGAAATTATTTGGTAAGGTTAAGTGAGAAATTAGACTGGTCCATTTTGCTGGAATTAAGTCTCTCGGCGATTTTAAGAACAGTCATACACACATAAAAGAAAAAAAGCTAAAAGAGGCATCATGACAAAAGAATAAGTTTTCTGCCCTATTACATACCATTTTATTCGTCATACTTAACAAAGCTAAACCTGTACAAGTTTGTACATATCGCATTGAAAGAACTGTTCACTAGCTTAAAAAATGAACAAAACATCAGAAACATTAAACTTATGGTCCCTTTTGCAATTTCTGTCCAGTCAATATCAATATATCAGCTCAAATCTTTTGAGAGATGAAAGAACCCAACAACGGAAATACAGACCACAGCATCCCCTTTCGGACCACCTGTGGTTGGTACCAAGCTTGTCTCCACGGTCATCTCAAATGCAAAATTTGAATTCCGCTACATAGAAATGCGAAATTACAGCCATTAGTAAAGAATTAGATGTTTAAACAGTAAAGATAAATTGGAGCAAAACTACATATCCACTTAAAGACATAGGTAAACATACATGACTGTTTAATTCAAGATCACATTTTTACATAAGAGAAGTATTACATTCCCATCTATCAGTATGGCTTCTTCCATGAACACGTGGGCTTTTTCAGATTTAAAAACCAAAACTGTTAGTTGTCTAAGAAAATTAGAAAAAATTAGTTATGTTAGGAAGAATGAATATCAAGAAATGAAAGAGATTAAAGTGAAGTTTATAACATCAAGATAGACACCACTATGATTTAATTTTGGAAGACATTTCACCTTCGATTTTATTATTTGTCATAACTGTGGCAGCATATTTCACCTGTGAACTTTCATTTTAGAATACTGAAAAATAAGGTGTCACTTTTTTTTTTTAATTCAGTAGACTGAAATGCATCTGAGCAAAGCAAAATTAAAGTTCAAAGACTAAAGAAAGCATTTAGCTGAACCCAGTTTTGTCTTGTGGACATGCACAAAATTAAAAAAATGAAATAAATAAACAGCTTTTGGCACTTATCCACAGTAAGCTGTAAGGTGATTTAATAAAAGACAGCTAATAAAAGTGATCAGCTCACAATGAAACTGTACAAGCCATTAGTTCACATTTAAACAATAAATCTGATTGCAGTTTTGAGCACAAAAACATAACTTAAAATCCTATTTTATTCAAATTTGAAAAACTATATTGATTTTAAGTAGTTTAAATACATTCATTCCCAGTCAAAGTTTTACAGTAACTGATGATTTTCAATCACACACACAACCAATTTATAAATCCCTGAAACACGGATTTATTATAGAAATACTGATAAAACCTTAACAGAGATACAAATGATACATCACATAGTGTCTTACACCTTAACGGTAAGTACTTGACCACCTTTGATTGGTAGATGCATCACTCCTACTGTTAGACTCTAATACCATCCTCTAGGACCAACTGGTTTAAATTGAATTCACAACAGTTTGCCATTACCTAAAAAAGATGATTTTTTTTTTTTTAAATCACACTATAAAATATTCATCTTCTAACTGGTATTTCAAAACTTCTGGAAAGAGAATTTCCCAGTTATAATGGGGACTAAACATACTAAACAAGGAGAGTCACTGTAGTGAATTTGAGAAAGTAATTTCAGCATCAGTGCCTCCGCAGAGATTTAGTATACAGCAGTACTTCCCTTGACATAAGTTAATTGGTGCATGTTTATCTGTGCATCTGAGGACCTTACTCTACTAGTAGGTCTTGGGACTCTTGAAGTTAATCTCATTCTGGCACTAACTTTCTGTGGGGTAGGGCAATTTCCAAATGAAAGGCACTCTCTTATGAGTGAAATCAGAATTATCAGCAATACAAATGGACAACTTGTAACATACTGAAGAGAACTGCTGTAGCCTACATGAGGTCTAAAATTAAGTACTTCCCTTAAAAAAGGTGGAAAAAAATATTTGGAATAGCTGTAGTGCATGTGTTTGCATGCACACAGACACTAGCCACTGTACAAGCAGAGATCTTCCAAGTATCTCAACCGTTGTGTGTTTTGTTCCCCCCCACCCTCAATGTTTTTTTTCCACTTGGGCAGAACCAAGCTTCTAAGGTTCAACTGCACTATCAGGTGACTTGCAAAACAGCCCATGGACCACCACTGCATTGCTCCCTACAGCCCACAGCAAGCAGGTCTGGAGAGTAAGTGGCAAGAGTGGTCCTCTCTCGTAGAACAAGAGCACAGGCACACACTACTAGTTTGTCCCACTTCTTGTTATTTCTCCTCACACCTTTTCTTTTTTTTTTCCCCTCCTTGTAAAAAAAAAAAAAAAAAAAAAAAATCACCTTGGGAATAAAGCTTTCCTCATGGATAGGAAAGCTCATGCTTGTTAGTCTGAACAAGGGATGTGCAAAACAGAAGTCATTTCCCTGAGGCAAAGATCTTCAAGTCATGCCTAGCTTACATCGTCTATTCTTATTTCAAGCTGTTGAAATATTTGGCACAATGAGGCCTTGATCACTGACTGAGTCTCACGGCATTATCACAGTCTACATAATATATTTATATAATAAAGTAGAAGTTACAAATGCTTCATTCTCTCATTCTGTTTTGGTTTCTCACATTTACTCATTAAAATCCCTTTCCTTCTCAAGGGTGGCATTGGACCTCCTGGGCAGGAAAGTAGAGTGACAAACTTCTACTGTATTTAAAGGTTGCCATGAATACTGAGCACCTAAAAGGGCAATCGCCATAGTTATTGGACTCAATATATGGAGTAATAGGGTAAAAATTAATAGCCTGTTATATACAGGTCAAAAGGTAGGTGATTTAATAGTCTCTTCTTGACTTACATTATGAAAAGCATCCAGGGAGATAAGAAGAAGTCATGTTGTGAATGCTTCCAGTCTAAAACACGTAAGAAGCAAAGCTTGAAACCAAGTCTTTCCAGCATTCCCTTTTAAAATATAAATTGCACTTTTTATACAAAGCAATCCAAAGTCTAAATTGTAGTAAAAATTTGAAGCTGCCTTACTGTACCAAAGAGTATCTGTGTTCACCATCTGAAGTACAGGCAACTAGTTTTCAGCCATTCTGCATATAGAACCATATGGTCTACACTTTTCTGCTTTAAAAGGGCCTGCCATTAAATGCCATGCCACTGGGTGGGTACTGAACAAAAAAGAAAAAAGAAAAAATAAGAGTTTAAGGCCTTTATCTCCACAAGGAGCTGAAAACTGTGGCACAACCCACGACCAATACTTAATACAAATACACTCCCACCCAGGGCTCCAAAAATCAGTCATTCTTTCTAATGTTTGTCACACAAGACAGTCATACCATCACCAAGCAACAGTGCCAGTTAAGCATTTTTAAGGTCTTCAAAAATTCATAGCAAAGGGCACTTCTGAGAAAGATAATCTTAAAGATTTGGTTTTAAAAATAGACACCACACTCACATTCAAGGGACATTCTTCACTTTTAGGCCTTTGTCACAAATCTGAATCTTTATTGTTCTGAAATAAATGCTATAAACATAAGACTCAAAACAAGAACTCCAACTTTCAGTCTCAGAAGAGGTGTGGTTCAATGCCCATATCACGTGTAACAAGAAAGTTTCCTTAAAAAAGGAAAAAAAAAAAAATATTGTAAAGTCTTTCTTAAGAATGAAAATGCAATCCTTTGTTTTTCTCATTAGTTTGTGTACAGGCGCGCACCAAAAAAACTTTTGCATTTTCTTTTGAATTCTTGCTATGACGCTTGACGAACTTTTTGCCATTCAACAAATTCATCCAGAAGTACAGGCCCTGCAAATTGATGAAACTTGGAGTTATATTTGCCAATGTCTTTCAAACATCTTCTCTTAAAGTATGAAGGTTAAAACTATTGGTCTAGGTAACATCCATGTCAGTCCCATGGTCAAATACTTATTAAGATTCAAAGATGAGTCTACAATCATTTCAATCCAAGCGTAGCAAAAAGTGCACAACTAACACTACACAGAACTGTGGAAAAAAGTGTTCCTGACATCTGACAGGTGCACTGAACTGAACAGAAAGCATAAAAATAAGGTTATATTGTAAATTGGCACAACTAATTCCTTCTTCCTAGAGCTTTCAAAATTGCACATAATTAGAACATGGACTAAAATGGGATGCCTAATGCAATTCAGTCATAGTATGATTGACTAGCAGCCAGGTGTAGAGTTCAGCCCCAAGTACCAGCAGCTAGGATACTTTACAGTTAAATGAGAGGTTATTATACATTAGTACAAAATGAGAGTTTGCTGTTTATAATTCTGTTTCCATGTCTGTAGTTTCGTGTAGCAAGCAGCTTCACTAGATCCTCAACTGAATATCAGTTGGCTCAAGTACACCATCATACCTCTGACGTACTACTACAATTAATATCTGCAGTTTGAAGATGGATTGTTATCAGGACACTTTTTCTATGCATTGTTGGAGAAGAAATATTTTATACCTTACAGCATTGTTTCTGTTATAGAAATTCATTTTATGCAAATTGAAAATACTGAAATAATAGTTGAATAAACAAAATGTTATGAATACTTACATGCACCATCTTCATCATAGTTGCTAAGATCTGCATGGACAGTTCTGCTGAACTCTAGCACATTGTACCACTGATCCTTGTTCATAACTCTATACTTTGATTGCTAGGGAAAATAATTTCAAAACATTAAAATGTCAAGTGACATTTGGTAATGCTGCATCTCATTTCTCTCATTTTATCTTCAATCAGTTCCTAACAAACAATTTAATGAGTAACAATGGCTACTATTTCCTTGGTTTTCCATTTTTCAAAATACTACACAGGTACATATTTCATAGTTCTGAAACTACATAAAATGGCTTCTTGAAAGATCAAAGCAAAATCGAAATACCAGGGAATCAGGAAGTCACCACTCTTAAGCTTCAAAAACTGGTAAATTTTTGTCTTGCCCTGAAGTGGGGCATACCTAGCTCAGATATATTTCCAGAATGAACGATTACAAAAATCTTCTTTTCTCCAGGATACAATACAGGATGATCATAAGGACATCTACTTTGCAACGTTAATACTGATTTGAAGCCAGGGAATAGTCTCAAGCCTAGCATGCTCCACCACCGACACACGACCACATTACTGACTTCAGTAAGTCACTTGCAGCTGAGCTGACCAAAATCTTCCAGAGACAGCCAGAGCTCGATACCTATATACTGTATCTACACAAAGCAAACCTGAAATTCAGCACAGATGCAGCTGAAGAGACTACTGGGGCTCTATTATTTAATTTTAAGTTTACCTTTATAGTCTAATTAAGATGGAATTTTAGTTGCCTTTGCTAAGAGAAGGGGGGTAGGGCATAGGGAGGGAGAAAAGGATCTGTGATGCATACAACATTATCACTGTTTCATAAGCACATCGAGCAAGGGAAAAGGAGCAAGATGGATACATTCTTGAGCAAAACAACACAAACCCTGAAATCTTCCCACTGAACAGCCCAACTACTATGCCATCATTCAGAAAGTCAAGGAAACTTGTACCTCCAAGTATTGATAAAATACTGAAAACAGTGGCCAAGTTCTTCCAAGCAGAAGAGCTAACATGGATTTTGCAGTATCAATATCAAGACTTCGCTGGTCTTTATCCTAAGGTTGAATAAAGAAAGCACAAAAACCACTCAAGTACAAGCTCACTGAACAATTAAAATACGAACTTCTCTAACATTCCAGCAGTCTTACCCTTGCAAAATCAAAGGCATATCTGTAGATATTCTTAAAGGATGAAATGTCATTCAATTGTGACCGCAAGAAGTCAAATTTACTCTGTAATTTTTCTGTACAATCACACCTTAAAATAAAGAAAAACAAATGATGTTAGAAGTTCAAAGCAAAACATTTGGACAATGAAAAAAATGCCAGCAAACATAAAAAATTAAATTCAACAAAATGCAATCATCAGATGTACAGGAGTAATACTATGAAACTGACTTAAAGAACACTGAAAATGCTCAACATTTGCAGCTTACTGAAATGATGAATGCCTGGCTTCTGTAAGCAAGTTTTTTTTAAAATGTATCAGCAACATAATACAAAGTCTCTGCTTTACTTCCCAAATAGTAGTCTTTTTATGCCTTACTCTGCAATTTATATTCATACCCAGCACTATCTTATCTTTCAATGACTGATATTTTGGAGAAAACAGTATTCAGTGTGCATTAAGGTGGTAAAATCCAGCTGTTAATAAGGGCTTTAAGCCATACCTCTTTGGCAAAAAACAAACCCTAAACACACACTTCAAGACTACATATTTACGAGTGGCAGGATAAAGCAGGCACTCTGCAAAACATACTAGTCTGCTCGTGTTTTATGACTGATAAATGCAAGCTGTGATAAGCCTATCACCTGGATTTGTCAGTAGCTATTCAACTGAAAACTCACAGGCTGTATGAGAATGTACAGGTCTGCTAGTTGACAGGATAACCCTTTGGCAAAAATAACCCTTTGGCAGAAAAGATGATCTGCACATATTTTACTTAGCAAGGACTTTTGTTTCCAAATAGAAAATGGGTTAGATCCACCAACAATGGCAGAGGAGAATGTAATTTACACATGCTGATCCTCCAGGAAAGACTCACTCAAAAGAACAGTTGTTGTATTATGCTACATTTTATTCTTATAAAATAATAGCTGCCATGATTCAAAAAAAAAAAAAAATTTCCACCTTGCCCTATATCCTGCGTGGCAGAAGCAATACTTTCAGAAATGTCAATGTACATAAATACTTCCTTGGGTAATGTGTCCCCCTCCTGGCAGCCCGCCTCTCAGAGAATACATTTGGCATCTTTAACAGCTCCTTATGGACTTGTCACAGCAGCCCACAGCAAGGGCCCCTCGGGAGTACCGCAGCAAGTTGCTGAGATGCTGTACTTTGATGCTGTACTTTGATGCTGTACTTTGCCCACAGCCGACACTTCCTGTCCCTCAGGTCTGCCAGCCTGTGCGTGCACATCTGTCTGTCTGCCCCTCTCAGGCTGCGACAAGAGAAATGTAGCAATTCCAGCTGATGGAGCCTTTTGTTATTTCTTGTCTATAGCAATATCTACCTAAAACAGCACTGAGTCCCAGCCAAGATCAGTGCTAAATAAAAAAAACTATTAGGTAACTAGGCTGCATATTCAGATGACAAGAACCAATATATTTTGCAATAAGCCATGCGTTAAGTTGAAAAGAAATCTTGTTAAAAAAGCTTTGGTAAATTTAACTAAAGATAAAATTACTTTTTTTGTCTTCAGCCATCTAAGTGGTCTATGTATTCTATCGTTTAACCCTTAAAACAGTATTATGCTATGCTACAAAGGCATCTCATTTTATATTCATATCTCTTCTTTCTATGTTCAAAACCTGCAATAATATTGTCCTCCTCATTTGAGGTACACCCGCTACCTATTTAACATCTAACTAAATGTTCATGTTGTTAGTGTACTAATGACATACATAAACTACTTAAAAGTGGGTTTACCACACATTTTGTCACATATAATTTAACTGAGATTATTTACCATACCATGGATAAACACAGATTTCAGTATGTTTAGATTTCTTACAAAATATTTTGGTAGAATTGTTCAAGTAATCATAAATTTAAGTACAAAGTAAAATTCCTGTTATTGTCTAGTGTACTATTGGCTATATGTATTTTAATGCAGAAGTGACTCTCTTGAAAAAGTTGGTATGAAAATGTGCAATTATTAAGCCTCAAGACTCCTGAGCTATTGTCAACCTATTTAAAACCAAACAGTCAAACGGATCACACTCAAACAGACAGGCACCACCCTCTGAAGCCTGATGCAGGGACATACCTCTGTTAAAGCCATTTAAGGCATTTCCACACCTGGCCACTGATTTTCTTCATGCTTGTGAGGTAAGGAGCTGTCTAACTCCTCTTTCATAGCGATATAGCTGCTTGTGTGGCTGCACCATAAACAAGATGACTGAGGTCACCCATACTTAGAATAATCTTCCTAACAGTATTTTTTTTTTTTAGTCAGAACAACCTTCTAATTAGCACAAGTGATTAACACCAAACTCCTGTACAGACACTAAAAAAAGATGTGATTTCTTGAACTGCCTTTACCGAAAGACAGCATTAAATAAGGTTGCCTCAAGATCAGCAAAACTAGACATTCGCTTACTACATTCTCTTCACATCCCTACAACATATTTATAACAAAACCTAAATTAGCACCACAAAGCAGTCCTATTTTGATTCTATATTGAGGTAGAGAGTTCATTTGAGGCATAGCTAATATGGACAGAGTGATGATTCAATAACTCCTACTCAGATATTCCAATGTTTCCTATTTCATAACTAGTCACACATGCTTGTCTTCTACTAAAAAGAAAAATCACTAAGATGTATACAAACATTAAAACAAAAGCATTTAATGGTAGTACATAAAGTAGTTTGAAGGTCTTTTAATCCACAAAAGAGTTCCCCTGCCATCATCCAGCCCTCCAGATGGACAAAAGGAAATTATATCCATCTAGCCCATCCACTCTTTTCAAGCATTGAAACAAGATCTTCTGAAATCTAGGTTCCATATTATAACTGGAGCATACAGAGGTCCAAGGAAGTAATGGCTTAAGAGAGCAAAGGGAGAGCTTTTCTGTGCCCGACAATGCTATAGTTTCACTATGTCAGTTGATTTACAGGACTGGAGACCAGAAATTGTTTAGATTCCAGTATACATTGAATGCTATACTGGCATAAAAAAAAATTACTTACAGGCAATAACAAGCAAAAAGCTCTTTGGAAAAACAGCTGATATTAGCCTATCATTAAAACCAACCCAAATAAGTTCTTTTTACTAGTAATTCTGCAAAAAGCAAGAAGTTACTAACCTGACTTTCCTGCCTCCCACTCTCTTTCTCACATGGCTTCTCTTCCACCTAAAAATGTGAGATCATGACCTTATCTTTCCCTCAGTTGGAATCTAATTTGGCTCTCTCCCCTTTACCTGGCCACTCACTAAAGCTCAACTTAAATTACCCAGCAGAGGTACTTGTTTCTCTCTGCTGACTATGCACCCAGCTTTCATATATGTGTATATATATATACACAGCCACACACACACATATATACATATACATATATACATATACATACATACATATCAGGCTTTAGACTGGACATTAGGAAAAATTTCTTTACTGAAAGAGTGGTCAGACCTTGGAACAGGCTGCCCAGGGAAGTGGTAGAGTCGCCATCCCTGAAAGTATTTAAAAGACGTGTAGATGAGGCGCTTAGGGACATGGTTTAGTGCGCATGGTGGTGTTGGGTTAACGGTTGGACTCGATGATCTTAGAGGTCTTTTCCAACCTTAATGATTCTATGATTCTATATATATATATATAGGGCAGAATTCACCCTATCAACACGATATACTAGAAACCTCACTTTCGCAGCTTAAGTTTCGTAGCTGTTTCGCAGTTTAAGTCTCCTAAGCTGCTACTTAGTGCTTGATCTACCTTAATTTTGACAGTGTATACCTTATCACATATTTATTTTTCTCCTCCTCTCTAAAGAACAAACTTCATCAGCATATCACAAAACCACATACAAAAAGAATGTTGCTTCAAGATTCAGGCACCCAAATGTTGGCATCTAACTGTAGATTAGATTTAGGTATCTAAGCTTTAGGTGTTGCCATTCATAGAGGTCTAGCCAACCAACCCGTAAGAGCAACTCAGGTGACCAGTCACTAGGTCTTAGGGCAAATGGAATACCGCCCTAGGCTCCACTACATTGTCTGGATGTCCAAAGACTGCAGTCAGAGTTTAAGAAATTCCAGCTCTTGCTTATAAACCACATATTTAGGTGTCTTACTATGGAGCTGAATTCCACCCAACGCTGTTCATGCAATTACCTTATGTGACATTTCACATATTTTGAAATAAGGATTCTGTAATATAACTCTGATTTAGAATACACTCTGGGCTTTCAATGCATTTTAATGTCATTTCTTCATGGAAAAAAAAAAATAACAAAAAATGCTGTGCAAGAATGTAATAATACTCTATTGCTTTAAGAGCGCAAAATCCTTCTCCTTCAAAACTTCTGTCAAACCTTTCAAGAGAAACTAGATACCCCCAACCCAGATGGAATCACATAATATGATCCTCCTTTCCCAGTAAGCACAAACAGCACAAGTCTACGGATTTATATTCTCTTTTTAAGCCAACGCATCTTGAATTCCTTTAAGTGAGTGTCACTGCTTCATCCAGCTGCTTAGTCTACAGCCTGCTATTAGCGCACACTCAGGGGAAGCAAAACATACAGGTTAACTGGTTTAGGCTTAGGCAAGTGCTCTGATCACAAGTCTGTTTATATAAAAATGCATAGCAGTACCATATTTTCTGTCTTAAACAGATTTAGCCTACAGCACGACCAGCTCTGTAATTAAAAGAACCAGAGGATTCCTAATCACAGCAAATTATTAGAAACAAAGTCTATAATATTGGCTCTGAAGAAGTGCCTGATTTCATTCATCTTTGTGCTTGCATCCTGCTAGACTGGCTAACTCTTAAGACCTTCCATTTGGGCATAAAAATTAAGTACTTCAGAGAAGTGACCAAATTATACCCATTCACTGAATCTAAAAATTTATGCACCCAGAATTTAATCTCTGTCATCCTGAATTTCAGGCAATTTAATCATACCAGCTCTTACTAAATTTAAGAGCTTCTAGTCACAAAACAATCAAGGCATCTATCAGAAGCCTGATCCTAAATCAAGTAAGATTTGCACAAGAGAGTCAGGCCAGAGCCACTCCATAGTCTTGAATAACCAGAGGGTATCTGCCCAACACAATTTCCCAAACCAATTCACAACTGATAGGGCAATTGTGCCAACTCCAAGAGTCAAATAGCCCCTCTTTCCCACCATGCTGTAGCTGCAACAGTAGCTCCTGTGACATTTTTGATGTTGAATGCAGTGTCATAACAAGTCACCCTTAAAACATTCATGTACCATAAGTAGTTTCATGAAGAACAAACAAAAAGTGACAACTGAACTAAGCCTCACAAAAACCTGAATAGTTTCATGAAAGAAACAACCTCTTTAGGCAAAGCGTTCTCTCACCAAAAATTCTTACAAACAGAAGAGAGAAGCTTACTTATAAATTGAAAAAGTGTTATTTAACCTAAGCATTAAGCATGGCTTCTGACCTGCATCTAATAAATAACACTAATAACCAAAATTATTATTAATGCAGTCCTCATCTATAAAGCTTAGAAATCAGTAAAAACTTTCTAGAACACCAGTGCTGAGATATGCTTATGGGTATCTCCAGATCTACTTACTTGTGTCTGCTAACTAGAATGATATTTTAGCATGGTTTTGTAAGAAAAAGAAGCCACCAAAACCTGACTTATTAGGGTTAGAGAAAACCTTATCATGTGAGTGAACTCATCAGATTCACAACTTGAAGAACAACAGTAGCTACTTCCAGGTGTTGACTGAGACCAGACCTAAATGCAAGAGTTTGTATCTTATTGCCAAAGCACAAGAAAATGAGGACAAGAATAATCAAGCTACTGGTACAAACATAAAATTAGAACATTCTATTATATACGTAAAAACACTTACTGTAATGAGGTCATTCCTTTCAACCATTCTTCCTTGGTAAAAAATCCCATGCTTTCAGCCTCTAGTTTCCAGGCTAAAACTAACATAATAATCTACGGGGGGAAAAACACAACGGGAGAAAAAGGAGTCAGTATGTAAGAAAAGGATGATTTCTAGATGTCCAAGAAGAAAACTCTAAGCACTCAAACAGTCTAGCAATTGTTGTACATGCTTGCACTTTATATTTGTTACCATTTAATAATTCAGCTAATATGCAATCTTTCCCTTAATTTCAATTTCTGAAAACGAAGTATTACTATAATAAAACAAACACCAAAAAAACCTCACACACCAGCCACGCATAATTGAGGTATTCAGCTGAAATATCTTAGAACAGCTCCAAAAAACAGGAAGATAAACAACTCTCTGCTTACTGTTAAGAGTTTTACACAGAACTTAATCTTATCCAATACCCCCTTTTAAAGTGTTATTAGTATCGTGCAAGAAACCTACATTTTCAGGCTCAACACCGATGTCTTCACAGAACTTTTCCATTCCTTCAGGCCCCACAACTTCATCAGGACCTTTAAAACCAAAAAGAAACCAGACTGAAATCTAAGTAACATTCACTGCTTACACGGGTTACACAGAACAATAATTAGAATAAATTGCTATACAAGCAATCTTTAAAAACACTGAATTACACTATTAAGCATCTTTTATGTTAGAACCATTCTATCAACTGCAATGTGGAGACATGGATATTACATATGAAGTAACACTATGAACTAAAAGCAAAACTAAAGCAGAACTTACATGTTGTGCACTCCCCACAACAGCAGACAAGCTATTTTAGTTTGTGTATGCGAGTTTTCAAAAGACTCCACTGAGTTTCCCATTGACATAGCTCAACTCCAATAATTGTGGCAGTCTTTTTTTTTTTTTAGACAACTTGGGTACCGCTACTCTGTGCTGAAGTATGAATAATGTTCTTCAAAGAGTTATTTTATCAATAGTAAAAAAAAATAATTCTGTCTGAGCTACTATTACAGGTATTACTCTTTCAATGGTGTTAACATTATGGGTTTGCACTAACACGGAAGAGGATGAATCTTCAAATAATACAAGGTTAGTTTTATGATGCTGAGTAATATGAGGAGAGTGATAACAATAAATCAGAAAAATGCTGAGCATGTTAGCCACATACAAAGCAGAAAAAGCTTTATGACTGCAATGAAAATAACTTGATTAGGACCACAACAGTTAGTGTTATGCTGTCACTTTTCCATTTTAATACAAAGAAAGCCTCTAAAAAGCAGCAAAATAGCATATTTAAGAGTACCTACAGACACAATCTACAATGCTTTGTTTCTCTGAATCTCTCTCTGGTTTCAGTCATTTGTTCCAAAAATGACTCCTACTGGGCAACCAAATATTATTAGAAGGCCTGTTGACATGCTATTTTGACATATCTTGGATCATTATGTTAACATTGTTTTAGTGAATATGAACCCATGTAAAAGGTAAAGGCTTTATCTTCCAAAACAACATGCATGCCATTTTATGATTTTTTGGCAAATTTTGCTATTTATACACAGACAGAACACTGTTTTTTATCTCCCTGATGATACCTGTCTCCACTTCATCTGTATCTGCTGCTGTTATTGTAAGCAGAATTCTTTTTAAGAGTTTGGATAATGTACTTTGAATAATTACTCACTGTGAGATTATAATATAGTCAATAAAAACTATAGAGAATGGCTACTTTCACAGGAAAACAAAATGCAACTGCCATTTAAGATCATGAACCCCCACCTCTTGAAAAAATGTTGCAAAGAACATTTTGTCTAGGTAAGCAAAACACTGCCATCTGGTTTTGAGAAGCCCTTACATAGAATGTATTAAAAAAATCGCAAGTTTAAGTTATGAAGAGAAACACATGGAAGGGTTCACTGGTAATGACAAGTATAAACTTGGATCAGTGTTTTTGGCCCAGAAATCATATGTACAATTCATATATATATGCGTGTGTGTGTGTATAATTTTCTCTTTTAAAGGAAACATTTAACCTCCTATGGTGTATAATTCCACTGGCATCCTATTTTATGCTAGAAATGTGGCATATTTTGGTTACTGATTAACTAACAAAGTATAACCTCCTACACTCAGTTCTTGACTCAACAACAAAACCAAAATTTACAGGCCTTAAAAAAGTTAAAAGTATGTGCAGGCGCATTTATCAGAAGAAAATTAACAGACAATTATTATTTTCCTCCGAAAAGACTTTTTACTCCAAAAGACTATGCCTCAAACCTAAATTAGAAAGCACATTACCAGAATCAGGAGTAGTTCATTACTGTGGAAAGACTGCAAGGAAAATATCAGTTCTGATAATATACTCAAACCAATTGCTGGCAGATAAATCATCAGCTTATTTCATACTGAGAACTGGCCATTAATGACTTTTAATCACCAACTAGTTATGACGGACTTCAAGTAGTGACTAGACCAGAAAAGAAATTAATAACAATTTCACAGATCCTGAATTTCTAACCATATAATTAGTAAACAAATGGCAGTAACAATCTAATAAATTCTGCAAAATACACTGCATATTCACTGAAAGCAACTATTACTTGGACATCAATTCTGATTTATTTGAAAGAGGCTACTTCCAACACTTTTGAATGAAACATTTGTTATTTAGAATATCAAAAATGTTAGGACAAATTCTCAGATAGGAAAAAACAGTATAAGCATCTATTATTTTATTTTGTAAAATAGAAAACCAAGAGAACTATTTCATTATCCTTCCAATTTGATTATAAACAAGATCTAGTTAGAGAAATAAGCTTCTATCTAAACTGCCTCTCAATGTCCTGACTTCTACTTGCCCGTTTCAAATCAAGTAGAATCATTCAGCATACCCTGGTTCAACAGTGTACTGTCCAACATCAGTTATTTAATTTTAGAAGAACATCACGGTAAGTTGTAAAGCATAGAGTAAAGAAGAAAAAGTCAAAAAGAACAAATACTGAAAAGGCAATAGTAAAAGTTATACTCATTCAAATGCATGTTATAAGGAAGCGAATATGGGCACATTTTTTATGCCTACATCAGCATACAAAAAGCAAAATGCAAATAATATTTGATTATTAGTTTGTTTTAAACAAAACCATATAGCTTGAAGTACGAATCCATTGCATATTACCTGCATATTCATAAAACCAAGCCAGGCACTTTTTGCTTGAAAAATGTTCCTCTCCACTTATTACTTTACCAGAGGCTTGTGATCTGCAATAGCTTATAGAAACACAAGGATGATAAGTGTTATTTTAATATGAGAAATGGGAAATAATTTAAAATAAAATTCCAAATTGTTTATTATTAGTTCAAACTATTTAAACTGTTTCACAAAGTCAATATACGTCAACAAGGAAGCTAAATTTGTTAAAAGGCAACTGTCTGTCATCCTATTTCAACACTTGTTGAAACATAAAATTACCTTGAAATACAACCCTCTCATACCCCAATTTATTGCAACTATTACTTTTTCTGAAATGCAAAAGTACTGTTATCTTGTAGATATTAAACAAAAAAACCCACACACAGATGGTCAAAATATCACTACTCAGTAATTCAAATGCCTTGTTATCTACTATTTATACATATAGGCATTTAAAGTTAGGTTTCTAATAAGCAGCATGATCTTCAAGAGTGCTGAATATGCACAGATCCCATTTAGGTCAACAGGAGCTGCAGAGTTTGAGATATGTAGAAGTCAGGCTATTTATAGTTAAGCATCCAAATTTGGGAAGAAAACTCGGTCAATTTGTTTATATTAAACCTCTGTAAATTCTATAGATGTTTGGTACACACACCAGAATAGTAATATGCAATCTATGGTAAGACTAAAACTGCTCAGCACACGCAGCTTCCCCCCCACATTGTCTTCATTATGCGACACACAACCCAGTTTGCCTAGGAAGTGAATTTTCATAATTTATCATCTTTAAAAGAATACATAGAATAACTGATCTCTTCCAGTAAAAACACTGACCGCATGAAAGCATCTTTAGTCACTAAGGAGTTGCAGCACCTTTTCAATGCACACTCCTTTCAATTACAAGTTACAGACTTTTAGAACAACCTAAGATTATTTCTAAGAATGAGGTGAAAGTTAATCGTATGAGAGGATTTAAAATTATGCAGCTCCTTCATTGCAATTTTAAAACGAAAACGTCAAGCAGGAAAAGAATAGTTCAATTCTGAGAGGTGGTGAACAACTTTATCTCCCATGTAAGGCTTTAAGCTTCACTGGAAAAGAAAGCAATGTTCTCCAAGATGTGCTGAAAGCTAGAATTAAAGATGTACTACAGACAAACATCCATTAAACTGCCGTTAAAAACACAAGTCACCAGAAAGAAACCGAGCCATACAGCATGCTATTGCTTGTTGGTTTTATTCAGTTTCACATATATCCATTTGTAATCACTGGTTTTATTAAAGAATATTACCAATATATTGCTTTATAAGAATACTATGTCAGAGATGCTCGTGTATCTAACATTTTGTGATCAACTAGTATGAACTCTCATTTACATCATAGTTTTTGCCCAATGACTACTAACTTCCTGTAGAGCCTTTTTTTTTTTTTTAAGAGGCTGTCAAAAATTTTTTTTCAAAGTAAAAGAAATTAAGATCATAAAATTTTGGTCAAGGGTGTTCAAGAAAGATGAACTGAAACTGGAACAGATGCAGAGAAGAGCTATGATGAGCAAAGAAACTGAAAATCGGTATTACAAACCAGAAGAATTTAGCTTGTTTAATTTAACAAAATGAAGTATGAGAAAACACAAGCGCTCATTCCAAATACCCTATGAGGCAGAACCATGAGGGAGGAGTGTAATATACAGGATAACGCAGGCATAAGAACAGTTATTAACTGGCTGTGAATAAATTTGGACTGAAACTAAAAGATCATTAATGACCACAGAAAGTGAGCTCTGGAACAGTTATCCAAAATGAACAGTCATAACAAAATAAAAGCCTGGGCAGTTGTAAGCTCAAGCTTGGTCAACCTATGAGAAAGACCATATGCCACAGTTTCTTGCAATAGCCATTCCCATAGCGTTGGTTTCACAAGTCCTTTGTATTCTTATGTCCTCAGGACGTTTGTCATCGTAACTACTGGTTTACTGACATACTTAACAAGTTCTAATAGATGAAGAAGGCATACAGTTAGTTTAAGGAAGCCACACTGGAAGCTCCTGCTACACCATACTAATGGTTTATCATTTTAATGGTAATTTTTGGGTATCATGGCATAAGTGGTCTTTTAATGGTAGTTAATGAACAAGATGCTTCAGACTCCTGTATTTATTAGAAAAACCTTTCCCGATTTTGTTTTGGAGTGTGCTGACCTCTCTTTCCATTTCACTGCAAAAAAAAAAAGAGACGATTTAACGTAGACACTCTGAGTATTGGCAACCTTAAGATGAGGAAAGCTGCCTACCCCAGGCAAACGGCTGGAATGAGTATGGGGACAAATGCTGGAACTGGCCCTACTGGTACAGCGAACGGCAAAGCGATCAGGGGACGGGAGCAGTTCCGCAGCGTGTCTCCCGGGTCTGAGCAAGCCAGAGGCGGACGCTGCCGCCCGCCCGGCACCAGCACACGCCGCCACCGGGAC